TCGGAGAAGGTTGAACTCAGCCAGAAGAGAGGGTATTTAAAAAAGTTTGTCGATCAACTGTGTTGAAAGCATCACTGTAGTCAAGAAAACATATGCATACAGCCTTGCTTTTATTATCCAGGTTGGATAAAACATAGTGAGACAGATAAGCAAGGGCATCCAGGGGACCACGGGAAGGGTGTAAGCAAACTGGTTCGGGTCAACAACATTGTGTGGACAGGGTCTTAAGGAGGAGCCTCTCAGGGGTGATAGAAGCTGTGCTCCAGCAGTGGGGTATACGTTGCTGCAAAATACAGCCACTGAAAAGTTCACTCAGTACAGGAAGGCAGCACATTCTTTCAGGACAGCGAGTGAGACTCCGTCGGGGCCGCAGGACTTGTGAGGATTTAATTGAGCCAACTCTTGATAAATATCGACAGGTGCAACGCTGAAGACGGTATCAGTGGTGTTTGTTTCGTATCCATCAGACAGAGCAGTGAGAGCGGTTCCACCGTTGATGAAACTCTGATTCAGACCACCTATGTCCGCCGCAGCAGGTGAGCGGTGTGAGGATTTGATGCCAGAAATCCGCATGAGGGCTTGCCAGGTCTCACGATTACCTTTGTTGTCAAGCTGAGCACGGGCGTGTAAAGAGTTTAGCCTTCGAAGTTCGGCCGGGATGGATTTAGAAAGGGAGCGCACATCTTCCCACTTATACATTTTGAAGGCATGCTCCTTTCTACGACGGAGTTGTCTGAGGTGTGGGGAAGAGAATCGATCGGGACGAATATAAATTGTCTCGTTGCTCTTTTTTGTTGAACAATACGTTCTCCCTATTCTACTTTACTGCTCCCCTGTAGTGTTTCCCGGTCTATTGAAACAAGACTTTAAAGCTGTCCGTTGTGGATTAATGATGATAAGCCGCGCATCTTTCACTTCTGCCGAGTCATTATTCACAGGACTTATTAATGGTCATATGAAGTCTTGTATGACTTTTGCTAATAAGATTCTAAACGTCCCCTCCCACTCTTTGCATTTTGACTTATCTTCTTGTCGCTCCCACTCGATCCTCTTATCGGTACCTACCCTCCCGAATAAACATTTGTAAAAACTCCAGTGTACCGGATCTGGCTCGCATCATGACCAACAAGGAACTAGTTATAATTACGTCAATCTTTAATTGAATAAATCAAACTTTAGACATTAATTTTTTTACACAACACTATTGAATTTATTTATACTTCTATCTTTTCTCCGGTGTGACGACCAGCGTACAATTTTTAACTGAAATGTAAGCATATCTCAGCTTGCAAAAGTTATACAAATACAAATACTCAGTCGGATTAGATTATCACTTGGGCGCCTATCCGGGAATCGATCCCAGTCTATAAGTGACACAGTTGGTCGAATGGCACAGGGACCGATAAAGAAAATGAGGTGGGATCGAGCGGCTGGACATTGGTCTGGTGGGACTCACAACTCAGCTAGTTCGTGTTTGAGTCGTCACGTGCTTGGTGGATAGACAATGCTGATGATATTCCGAATAAGAATGAACCAGCTGTACGATGGTGGTTCCACAACTTTTCAGCGGTTTTATATATTCAAAGGTCAATGTAAAGTGATGCAACAGTTCTTATGACTAAATCAAAATGTGACACCACAATCGGAATCAGGATCATCTTCTAAGGCAAACATAAGTTGTGGTAACCCGAACTAGAGGATGCAATAAAATACATTTCTCATTTATTCATTAACACGACCGGTATTTGGAACCACATGATATTGTATAGTGGCTTTTCGATTTATTATGGTATCATGTAATAACTGAGTTGCAACAAAAAGCAAGTCGTATGATTTACTGATCTTTTCTTGTTTCCTT